TGTCGCTAAATACATTATTCATTAAGGACTGTGCACCTGGATATCAGCGTACCGGAGGTGGTCTTTATCTTGGCCTCTGCGAACCAATTGGAGGTGGAGGTGAACCGCCGGCTCCGGTCATGCCAGAAAGACCAGAGACACCGGAACCTGTGAGGCCTGAGTACGGCTGCAACCCCGCCGGCTCTTTGTCACCCTATGCAGATGCGTCCGGTAATTGCCGTTGCAAGCAATATGCAACAGGTAGACGCTGCGACGTTTGCACCCCGGACTCGTTCAACCTTGACGAGCAAAACCCCGAAGGTTGTTTGAGGTGCTTCTGCTCGGGAGTAACGAGGGATTGCAGCTCGTCTGATTATTACGTGCAACAAGTAATTGAGTGTTAATGTTTTTTTTTGTTTAAATTGTTCGGCTACCGCCCAAATACTCGTAACCTCCTTGTCAGATTATGATGTATAACGCTGCTTCATAATTTCGTGATTTGCTCAACACTGTTGGTGTTTCAGGTCACTCTGCAAACGCAATTCGTCCAAGACATTACGGAAAAAGTTACGGTGAGGACCGCTGACCTGACGAACTTCTTTGAAGCCAAGGGACAAAGCTATGTGGATTCCGGCAGGAATCTGGCGTTCAGCGCCTTTTTGAATGCCCCGCCTGAAAAGGCGTTGTACTGGGCGTTGCCATCCTTATTTCTTAACAACAAGGTGAGGTTAAGGATCGCGTTGGGTTCTCATCAGCTACAGTTCAGCCATGCAGGTAACCAGCTATGGTGGATCTTTGGACTTTACCATCAACTTCCGAGGTTATGGTGCGGACGATGTCAGCCCGATGGTCGTCATGAGGGTACGTTCAGCATGAATTTACTAATCAACGAGTTAGCATGCAACTGTCACCGATTTAGGGAAACGACATGTCCATATTTTACCATCACGAAACACCCGTGCCGGCCAATGTGGACTACACCGTCCATGTTCCTCTGATCGAGGTTCGACATTCTTTCTTATCCTCGCATATATTTGCCTGACTGAGTTGGTTCATGCTCTTAGAACCATTGGACACGGGAAGACAATCAGCCGGTAACCAGGGAACACCTGATGACGGTGCTTTCTGATTTGCACACGGTGCTTCTGAAGATGACCCAGAAGAAAAACATGGAAACAATCAGGTTCGATCCGAGTAATCAGGTGGTAATCGTCGAAAATGTGTTTTTCGTTGTGCAGCCTGAAAGAAGTGAGCATGGACGTTGCGACAGAAGAATTTTCAAACCAGAAGGCAGTCAAGGTCGAGCTCTGTCACTGTCCACAAGGATACGCAGGCACATCTTGTGAGGTAACGACCACCCATTAGATGTTTGTATGCAAACTGAGGTTGTATACTTGATCGAAGCAACATCTTTCATTGGTCACTTGGTGACTCATTCTTTTATGAGTCGAATGCTCATTC